AAAGAGAGACAAATAAAGAAAGAGAAAGGAAGGAAGGAAGGAAGGAAGAAAGGAAGGAAGGAAGGAAAGAAAGAAGGGAGCAAGGGAGAGAAAAACAAAGAGAGACAAATAAAGAAAGAGAAAGGGAGGGAGGTTGGGAGGTTTCATAAGCCCTTTCTGCCCCCCCCCCCCGCTTACTACTATCCTGTCACTCTTTATTAAAACAGTGAACTGACCTTGGCATGATCAGGGTTGACCTGGTGAATTCTTCTTGTTTCACATGTCTTGGCATTGTACCCTATCTTGACCAGGTAAATAAAGCAAACTGCAATCACAACTATCACGATACACCTAAAAGGGTGAAAAAAGACGAGGTGTTCGTGGATGTATCACATTCCAAAATCTGCCCCCTAAATGCGGGATGCACCCCCCCCCCGCTCCGTCCTGCATTCAGCCCAGCAGACTCAAAGGGAGTGGGATTAAAAATGCAGATGACATTTTGACATAAATGATAAATCCAACAAGAATATCTCAGACTAGATTCTCCCCAAGGGATGCGGTCCTAGTCCATTCTGGGAGCAGAGTCCCATCAATGAGACATGGGCCAATCACCAGGAGACTGGGAGTTCTAGTCCCGCCTTAGCCACGAAAGCCAGCTGAGGAAATTTGGGCCAGGAGACTGGGAATTATAGTTTCCATCTTAGGCATGAAAAACCAACCGGATGACTTTGGGCCAATCACTGACTCTCAGCCCAACCCACCTCACAGGGTTGTTGTTATGGGGAAAACAGGAGGAGGACTGGGTGCAGGTAGTTCTCGACTTGCAGCAGTTTGTTTAGTGACCGTTTGAAGTTACAACGGCACCGAAAAAAGGGACTTCAGGACAGCTTTTCACACTTGACTGTTGCCACATCCCGAAAGTCAGGTGATCAAAATCCAAACACTTGGCAACTGGCATGTACTTATGACGGTTGCAGTGTGACAGGGGGTCACGTGATTCCCCCTTTTACGACCTTCTGACATGCGAAGTCAATGGGGAAGCTGGACGCGCTTCAACAACCGTGCGACTAACTTAACAACTGCGGTAATTCGCTTAATAACCATGGCAAGGAAGGTCGCAAAACGGGGCAAAACTTTCTGATAAATTCTGGGCTCCATTGTGGCCGTAAGTCGAGGACTACCTGGGCTAGATACGTTTGCCGCCTCGAGTTATTGATAAGCAATAATAAAGGCAGGAGGAAAAAAAAGCAAATGAGTCAGTAAAGTGGTGAGAAATATCTGCGGTAATATCTCTGCAACCATCAGAATTTTATTTT